CTAAGAAAATAAGAAATGTCATTCCTACATCAGTGAATGCTATAATAACATATGCTTCTTCTCTTAAGCCTTTCTGTGATACATGAAAGCATTGGGATCTATATATATTCATAACCAGTTATTTGGGATTTTAACTGTAGTAATACATAATAATTTACAGTACTCAGAATTCAGAATGAAAACTTGTACTCAGTTATTGGTGTTTGTATTATCTGGTGCTTTTCTATGTATGTAATTACATTTTAATCATTAAATGAAGTGCAACACTTCATGCTGGCTAGAAAGACTGCCATGAATTTTTAATAGTTTCTCTAAGTGTCATTAAGTGATAATTTGAAAAAATAATAAACACCCATCAATACACACAATTTATTACTAATAGCATCTTTTCCTAATTCAGTTTTAAAGTAAAAAACAGCACTGAAATGGCATGTGATATTTTGTATCTGCTTCTTACCATAAAACATTCAAACATTTTAACAATTTTTCTTGGATCTGTCAATTCTACTTGTATTTCCTATTGGAAGTAGAAGACTACCTCTGCTTGATTGGTATAGAATTGATACACGTATCGTAGAATCATTAAGGATAGAAACAATGCTGAAGAAAGATCACCAAGTCCTGCCAAAGAGAGGACTGCCAAGTCCACCAGTAAAGTTAATGCCCTTAGTGCCACGTCCACGCATCTCTTAAATATCTCTAGGGATGGTGACTCTACCAGTTGCCTTGGCAGCCCCTTCCAGTACCTAACCATTCTTTTTTCCTGTAGAAATTCTTTCTGATATCCAATCAAAACCTCAGCTGGTGAAAAGTGAGTCAATTTCCTCTTGTCCTATGCCTTGTTTCCTGAGAAAAGAGTCTGACGCCACCTCACTGCAACCTCCATTCACATAGCTGTAAAGAGCAAGGAGGTCTCTCCTCAAACTTAAGAAATCCAGTTCCCACAACATCTCCTTTTAAGTCTTGTTTTCTGGTCCCTTAACCAGCTTCGTTTCTCATCTCTGAACGCATCCCAGCATCTCAGTGTCATTGAATGGTTAACAGTATTGCTTTGCAGCTGTTCTATCCTGCATCTTATAGACATAAAAAACATAGCCTTATGTGTGGCTCCTGCTATATGTGCCTAAAGCAGACACAATTAAGCTCCATAGCCCAAATTGTTATTCTTGTATTTTTGATGCATTTTTGTTTGTTTTTTTTTTTCTTTTCAATTTTTTTAGTCTTTGAGAGCCTGCACAGAAACAAACAAACAAAAGCCTGTGACTGTTTTTCCTTCTATCTTCCTCTGTCATAGCTAGATGCAGCATTGTCATGTCTATCTTTCCAGATATCACTGATGCTTTCCAATGCCATATTCAATGCTGTATTGAGGGCAAAGATGATCGAGTATTCCATCCAAGTGATCATGAGAAGTGTTATAAATTCTCATGAGAAATGCATTACTTCAGAGCCTGGAAAAATTGCAGATAGCTTATGAATACCTCATCACCTATGTTTCTGTATTTTGTACAGTTTAGCCAAAGTGGAATATTGCTGTACTTGTTATAAGGATATGATCAGGAAGACCAAGTGAATGAGGCTTGCTATACATAAACGGATAGGAGCAGATCACGTTCAGGAAACATGGTCTTCACAGGGGACTTGAACCAGCCTGGCAACTGTTGGAGGGACAACACAGCAGTGTGCCAGAAATAGAAGAGGTTCCTGGAATGCATTGATGATAGCTACCTCTTCCAAGTAGTGCAGGAATTCATGAGAAAACGTGATATGCTGGACCTTATCTTCACCAACAAGGAGGGGCTGGAGTGTAATGTGAAGCTCAAGTGCAGCCTTGGCTGTAGTGATCAAAAACGGTAGAATTCAAAATCCTTTGAGTGTTGAAGACAGCATGCAGCAAGCTTGCTACTCTGGACTTCAGGAGAGCAGACTTAGAACGTTTCAGGGAACTGCTTGGCAAGGTGACATGGGAGAAAAGCCCTGGAGGGAAGTAGGGCCTGACGAAGCTGGTTGGTAGTCTAGAACCATCTCCAAGTCCAGGAGCAGTGCGTCCTGAGAAAAAGTAGAGCAGGCAGGAATGCCAAGAGGCCTCTGTGGATCAAGAGGTTGCTCCTGGACTTAGTTAGGCTTAAAATGCAAGCTAATAGGCTTAGATGAAAGTCAAAAGTGTGGAAGCAGGAACAGGTTACTTGGGAGGTCTACAAAGGAGTTATGTGAGCAGTCAGGGATCAGATTAGAAAAGCTAAAACTCTTTAATTAAATCTAAACAGGGACATAAAGGGGAACAAGAAGAATTTTGTCAGTGATAAAAAGATGGTAAGAGAGGATGGAGGCCTCAGGAAACAGGAGAACTCATTATAAGGTATACAGAGTAAGCTGAGGTGCTCGATGATGACTTTGCCTCAGTCTTCACCAGCAAGTGCTCTGGCCACACCGCCCAAGTTGCAGAAAGCAATTGTAAGAACCTGTAGAAGGTAGATCTGCGTTGTTTTCAGGTTCATTCTTCTCCAGTGCTACTAACTGTGTTTTCACAGGTAACAGCTGCTTGTGAAAGAGTTCTTAAATACCTCTTAATTTACATCATCTGCTGGAAAATGAGATGAATATCTCATTGAGTAGCCAGACTCATGAGACTAATGAGGTGCTAGTCAAATGCTGTCATTTTTTGTCACATTTTGACTAGCTGTGAGACTCATGAGTAAAAAATGAAAATTGTTCTTTTTGTTGGTATTGATATTAAAAGTCAAAGTCCTTATGTATCAAAATGTTGTTGAATCCTTTCTGTATTTCTAGCTTTACCTTTCTGTTTACATCAGCAATGTCAATTGAATGAGATTAATAACTAGTGGGATTAGTAACTAGTATGAAGAGGAAGAGAATTACTGTTGTTTGCTATAGCTGGAGCTTACCTGGAGTATTTGTAGAGTTTGATCCCTCAACTGAAGTGAAATACTAAATTGGAAGAGCTATAAGACATGAGAACGGCTGGGTGAATGTCTAGCAGCTGGCTATGGTCAACCTCACAACACTTAAAGTGCTTTGGCTTATTTTTTTTCTTCTCAATTCGCAATATATTGAAAGTGCTTGCTTCTTCAAGTCCTTCTTTGGGAAGGTTTAAAAAAAACAAAGAAGTACCTGGCATGTATTTACACTGCTATACATTTCTGTGCTTGTGTACGTGAACTGGTTTTACAGAAGTAGTTTTTGTTGTATTTATGCATGGATGGTACTGCATGTTGATTCATTACATCCTTCGACTTTTTGTTTGAGTCATTTAAATACATTGTACATGTAGTTATGTCTCTGGTTGCTGCATTTAAGATTTATAATCTATGCAGTGTTATTCGTGCTGTTTTGGTATGCCTTTGCAGTAAGCATCCATACCAAATAAATTAGCTCTTGAACGCTTTATGCCTTTATTAAATATTCATTAAATGGGATGCATGGTATTCATGCAGTCTGCTGCTTAGTGCATTGAAACCCCAGAAAATGCATTGTTTTGTGAACGTTTTACTCGGAATGAGCCGTGGTTTTCCTTCTCTCCTGAAACATGTTAGGTTCCAGGGCACTCTGCTCTTAGTCTAGCATTGTGCTCTGCATGCAATGCTGGTAGAGAATTTGTAAGACCTGGAGAACTGTGCAACAAATTATGTGTTTCCTTAGGGTTTATTGAACTATGTTTCTTGACCTGCTGTTTCTAATGAACGAGGAGGATAAATGGGTATTTTCTTGCTCCTCTATTCTTGGCAGTGCTGAGGGGAAAAAAATAAGGACTTTTGGACAGATTAAATAAGCTAATGTTTGGAATAAGTCATGCACATAAAACAGGTGGGTTTTTTTTTTTTTTTTTCAGCCTTATTTTTAGCTGCCTTTTCTTTATAGTAAGCATTAGTCAGAACTCTTTTAAGGATGTAATTTTTACCCAGAATGGAATCTATGAGGGGAGGAGGGGGGAAGTATTTATCAAGATTGCTTTTTCCTTAAAGCTTGGGATGGTGAGAGAGTGGTGACATTAGGACCCTTTTCAACAGCATTCAACCATTTGTATTTCTAAGCCTAAGTTTATCTGTTTATGAGTTCTTCCCCAGAAAATTGATAGATTTTGTACGTGTTGGTACCTGCTGTGTGAATATTACAGCCTTGCTGAAGTTTGGGGTGGATGTAGCAATATTTTCATGATATGTAGCTCTTACTGCATATCTGTTATTCATGATGAATGACCAGTACAAGAGGCAATCTGTGTACTGTATACAATCATCTGCTTGTAGAAATAAAGGGAACACTGCTTAATCTGGAACCGAAGACTGGGGATTTTTGTTTGGCTTTTGTATTTTTAAGGTTGCTCAGAGCAGTGTTTTGTTTATTTGCTTGCATCTTTTCTCTGACTTTTTTAATCTGTTTACAAAATAGACTCAGGGTTGTTAAACCTAGGTTTAACAGATTCAGAATTTTCTCTTACAATGCTTAATTAGTATTATTTGGGGCAAGGCACTGCTGAAGCACACTGTGTCCTTACATAGAGTATACTAAATATACAGAAGTGATTTTTTTGTATTTTTCAAAATATATATCTTGTCCAGTAGGATTGCTGCTTCATCAAAAAATAAAAATAAAAAAATTCCAAAGGATTCTGTATCAAATCAGTGAAACAGCACTTCAGAATACAAAGCAGACAGCTTTTTGGCTGAAATAATGCTTTGATTTGCACTTTCACCTAAATGTTCTGTGCTTACATGTGTTCCAGATCATATTGCTGATTCAGTATGTATTTTTCAGTTGAATCATGCCCATAAAATTCTGGTTCTGTATGAAAATGCTATGGTCTTAGTAAATCTTAGTTATCTTTTTTACTTCATAGATTTTAAGTGTTTTAAATGAATGACTTTTTAATACTGTGTTTGTAGTAGTACTGCTGAATTAGCTATATAGGTGTATAAAAATAATTCATGAAAACTGCTTTTAATTATATGCCAATAATTTATATGTTGTTTTTCTTTTACCAG